TAAACATTGTTAGATGTTTTATGAAAATGAAAGCCAATGTGCATGCAACGCAGAGTGCTTTTGTAGATTTTTATGTTGATTGTTGATGCATACCGATTACATATATTAAGTATGAGCCAAAAACGGACAGATAGCCAGTTTAGCAGCGCATGTACACGACTGATTACCTACTCTGATCTAAATCAATCAATAAACCGTTTTTTAGTTCCATTTGACAATGTGATTTTACCTATTTAACGACAAATGCCATTGAACTTGACATAGTGAAAACTAGCCTTAACGTCCGTCACCATCTTTTTTGACCTTAAAATTCTACCCTCAACGTCAGCCAAGATTTTTTACTTCAAAATAAAATTAGTTAATGGGTTTTTAATGCTTGTTATAATTTTAATGCAATAAATTATTGCAATAGCATTCATTTAAACAATTTAATGTTAATACAAAAAAAAAAATCATTAGCATTATTTCTTCGGAATTAATGCATTGAAGTTTTCATTTACATTAAATATCAAAAATTAATGCATTAATCTTTTTCATTTACATTAAAATGCTGTGCATTAAAAAATTTAATGAATTTTTCACACCTCTGATGTGTACATACATTTCCGTTGATTTTTCGGATTTCACGCAATCTCTTCCATACAAACATTTTTTTTCGAAAATACTTTATATGGAAAAAGGGCAAAACACCTTCAACAAAAAAAATTCTCAAAAATCAGTGCGATTTTTGACTAACTCCGAACTTACATTTTTTTACTATGTAGAAAAAATCTGATTAAAAAGTTGAAAATTTGCTGAATTTTTGCGAGTTTTGCACAAACTTTAGGAATTATATTTTTAGGTTTTTTGTTGTAGAATAAACCATATTGTTATACAAAATTGGATTAAAAATATTAGAATACAAATTTTTGAATATATTGTGAAAAATTTGCTGTGCCAATACTTTTTTCCGGCAGTGTATTATTTTTATTTCGATTCGAATCGAATCAAAAATCAATTTTATTTCGATCTGGTACATATGAACTAATATACTCCCTATGTTTTTCCGTTAACAGGCTAATCATGAAGCAGATTAATGTATCTGTCATAGGCCTTTCGGGCACTGAAAAAGATCGGGGTCAAGTCGGCGTGGGAAAATCTTGCTTATGCAATAGATTCATTCGTCCGATGGCCGACGATTACTTTATTGATCACATATCAGTATTGAGTCAGGTAGTTTAATAAAGTAGATTAATATAAGCTTTAAAAATGTATTCAACATTTATTTTTTATAGAGCGATTTCAGCGGTAGAATTGTTAACAATGATCATTTCCTATATTGGGGCGATGTACGAAAAACGACTGAAGACGGAGTGGAATACAATTTTCAAATAATTGAGCAGACGGAATTCATGGACGACTCAACATTTCATGCATTTAAGGTTGGGAAAATGGAACCTTATTATAAACGATGTGTAGCCACCAAGGTGTTTTCTGCTGAAAAGCTTATGTATATATGTAAAAACCAGTTGGGAATAGAAAAGGAATACGAACAGAAAATTATGCCCGAGGGTCGTCTGTGTATAGATGGTTTCATTGTAGTGTTTGATGTTAGTCCAGTGCCCAATCGGCCAGTTGAGAAGCAAGTTGAATTTGTCCACAATATCATAACAAATATACTGAAAAACAAAAAGCCACTTGTGCTTGTTACCACAAAGAACGACGACGCCAATGAACTATATATACGAGAAGCAGAAAAAATATGTCAACGTAAAGAATACAAGGGCTTAGTTCAATTGGTTGAAACATCTTCGCATGAATCTATAAATATAGATTTGGCTTTTATACTTCTTGCTCAAACGGTAGACAAAGTAAAAAGTCGCATTAAAATAACTTCATATCATGAGGCTGCAAAGTCACGAAAGGAGCTGTTAGACACGCGATCTGAAGCTGTAACGAGACTTATTCGCAATCAGATAATTGATTATCATGTGCTTTGGTCGCAGGGATCCAAAATACTAGCGCAGTATAGAGAGTGGACTGAATTTTTGAACATTTTTGGAATAGAAGCTGGCCAAAAGCTCTTCAGGCGTCATATGAAAAAATTACGGGATGATCATTTAAACAAAAAATTAAATCAATATATAGATAAATTTGCTAATACACTGGAGTATCTATTGCCCGACATAAGCAGCTTAGGAACTATAGATGAAAATATATGGGTAAACGCCAAAGGCATTTTGCGAACCCACCCCGACTTCGAACAATATTTTTTCGAATGCCCTCAAGCTTCATGGACCGAATTAGTTGATATGGAAGAAGCAGAAGATGAAGCTCGTATTCCATTTGATGTTTTGGACACTCCGGAAGCGGAAACAATATTTAGAAATTACGTGAATGCTGTACAACAAGATAAGAAGAAAATAGGGTAAGTATACTAATAGAAAAAATACAAAATATTGAAAAGTTGGCGATGAGAAACGAAAAGGCGAATCTTAGTTAATATAAGCAAAAATATATATTCACCTACGGTAAAAAACTCCGATTTTTATTTAACTATTACAAAAAAATATTTAGAGTCCAAAAACTAAACGTTCTTATCCCGAGTTATTAATTGGTTAAATGAGTTTTCCAATGATAAGAAAAGATGCGAATATAATATGCATTCAAAATTAAAACAAATATGCGCTATAATCAAGTAAAATATGCAATTAAAAATATTTTATTGCCTGTGAAAAAAATAAATAACACATGCCGCGACCTCAAGGTGAAAACGTGTCAAGTCTCACTTTGTTCAAAATGTAGTTTTTGATGCAGAATGGCAGGTAATACGAAACTACATAGATTTTTCGTCTCCCGAAAACTTTCAAAATATGGACGTGGCACTTTTTCACACTTATGTGACGATGTAATTTAATCAGAAAATTACGAAAGCAATTCACTTCAAAATACAATACATATTAATGTATGTATACAATTAGTTTATAATAAAGCACACAGTTAAAATCGTGTGTAAATAGAAACATAGTGGTGCAGATGGATGTTTGGTTGGTTTAAGTCACTCTGATGACAAGAAACTAGCAAGTTTGCCATTTAGATTCCACAACTCGCACAACCTACAGCCATTTGGCGGCTTTAATGATTTTCAGTACGTCATTTAGAGAGAGGCAGCTGCACTCTTAAAACATTCTGCAGGAATGGTTGCCGAGTGTTTTAAGCCTCATCCTTGCGGGGGCTGGACAATCTTTTAAGCCAGGGTCATCGCAACTGTGACAGAACCTGTTGAAGGGCAATCCAATCGCTTCTTCACTGCAAAGTGCCTAGCCCTCTCCCCTACGTAATTCTCTGCGACCTTGTTCACCACCTGGACGAAGGAGGTCAGGCTACCGCTGGGAATTCACGTCGATGATACACCAATTCCGACGGTGAATAACCCCAAAATACTCGGAGTAACATTCGACAGTCTGCTTTGATGTAGAAGAAAAAAATCAGAACAGTTTTTGACACTTTCGATACCAGAAGCAACAACAAAATACAGGCAAAGGTTGTTTTTGCTCAAATGCTCTAAACCTGTTTGATAGGCCTTGAATTAAACAAAAAATGTGATATAATTCATATGAAGAAAGTAATAATCACAAAATATTTTTACTTATGCAAAGTCTAACAAAATATAGGGAAAGCATCGTCTTTAATAACTGCTCGGCATATTGGACATAGCGCTTTTGTATGAATTTTATCTGCATGCTTTTTAATATGTTAAAAACATTGCTAGAAAACCTTAAAATGTTTGCATGGAACGATGTCACAATAAACAGATGAAGTAATAAAACGGCTTTACCGCTTTATTTTCTGACATTCGGCTGTCTTATAGTCACATTTTATAGGCAAATTTTCAAATATAATAATAATAATAAATTCCGCTATGGGTGGGATGCATACAATAACACCATACACAATAATTCCCATTACTTGGACATTAAAAAGCAGTTTCAGAAGTGAACTAGTGTTATTTTATTATTTTTCTTTTTTCTAAACGGTTATAATGCCACCAGTGCATAATTGCGTAAGGAGGGGAGGGGGTGCGGGACGCGAGCGCGAACGAATTTGTGTTAATTCACATTCAATTGGGAAATAACACAAATTTGCGTTATTGCCGTTTGTGTTATTTATTTATTGCGCTAATTCTGAGTTAAAGTTGTAATAAAAAGTGCCTATGAGCATCTTAGTGTGGAATAAATGAAGCTAAGTGAAAGTTATTGTGTTTTATATTAAACTAAATTTAATTAAATCTCACTAGCATACGTTATAAAGCGTTTCATATATGACAGACTCTGCATTAAAGGGTTAAATGCTGCACTTTCGTAAAGATATCGACCAGTATAACCATTTTTGTTATATAAATTTTTTTGTGAAAGCTGATTGTTTACGAGTTATTAGAGTTTAAAGGAAGCTTTTCTTTTTCCAATCTGGCCACTCGGGTACAGCATCCAATGTCCCAAAAATCGAGTCTTAAGATAAAATAAAGAGAAATCTTTCAGAAACAGTGCTAATGGTGTATTAAGTATAGTGTTTTCTAGTGGAATGGGAGCCAAAATCCAAAATTTCCAAAAAAGTGACATTTTGAACGGTATTTTGAGGGTTAAGTTATTATTGTTGTAACTTCTCTATAGTTTTCCTATATTATAAGATCATTTATCTTCACGATAAAAAAATTTTCATTCCATTATCTCTTTTCTAAGCGAAGATCTACGATTTTGAAAAAAAAACTCGTGTTTTGCCTGTAGTGCGCCGGTACTCCAGTCTGATACAAGGAAACTAGTTGTGGTTCCGCCAAAGAAGTCAATCTTTGTCTCTAGATTTTCGAGAGACACTTCCAAAGACGATATAAAGGCTGAATTTCTTTATTCATTCTGAACGTTTGGAATAAACTTTTTTGTTTACTTATTCTTTAGAACGTTCCTGATGATATGTTAACGTATATTTCAAACGCATTCTGTTTATTCCGGCTGTAAAATGGGATTATCCGGAATGTATAAAGAAACGCAGCCAAAGTTTTATATCTCATCAAAAATTAGAGCTGTCGACTTAAGCATCAGGAAATTTAATTTTAAATTCGAAAGAAATATTGCTTCATTTGAAATTGACGTAAATTTAGATAATTTTAATGCGCTGATTAGTAGTTCTTTTTGGCCCCCGGAGCTTTCGTTCGTGAATTCGAATATAGGTCCAAAAAAGGAAATAACTTAGCTAATATTCCCCGTCATAACACTGAATCAAAAAACTAATTATTAAATCTGCTTTAAGTATTTATTACCAAAATGTAAGAGCCTTAAATACTAAATTAACGAACTTATACCTTAAAGGCCTTGAATGTAATTATAATATTCTTTCTTTCACTGAAACTTGGCTGAAACCTCACATTTTCAATTCAGAGATTCTTCCAAATAATTATCGTATCTATAGACAAGATAAGGGAGAACAGAATCGGCGGTGGCGTACTCTTCGCTGTAAACTCTTTACCATCTGAAGAAGTTAGTCTTCCACACATTGATTCAGTAGAATTCAAATGCATTCGTGTACAGGTTGGAAAAGGGTCTATTTACTTAGCTCTATGCTATATCCCTCCCCGATCTGACACATTGGTGTATTCACGACTTATCTCTTTACTGAAATCAGTTAATTTATTGACTAAACCCTCTGATCCAATGATTGTGTTGGGTGATTTTAATTTACCAAGCATATCATGGAACATCATTGACAATGATATCGTACCTTTCGCGTCTAGAGCGTGCAACAACATATTTTTAGAGGAGATGGCTGAACTCTGCCTAACTCAGGTTAATGTACTTCACAATAAGTTTGGTAAAGTATTAGATCTTGTTTATGTTGATGATGCATCTAAGTCCGTTGTAAATAAGTGTGATCCACTAGTTTTGCCCGAAGGTGTCTACCACCCTGCTTTGGAGATATCTTACGAAGTTATAAGTGATGGTAAAAATTGCGGTACCCAAGCATACGAACCAAATATTCGCTTTGATTTTTCGAAAGCCAACTTTAAAAATCTTAACAAATGTCTAAATTGCCGTGGCCTGCATATAAAGAAAATATTGAACAAAGCGTTGCACTTTTTAACTTTACTTTACATAAATTATCTTAAAAGCATGTGCCTAAACGAATGTATGTTCCTGTAGAACAAACACAGTTATGGTTCACTAAAGAACTGAGAAATTTGAAAAAACAGAAAGTCACGTTATTTTAGATTACACAAAAAAAACCGGTTTACACTCATACTATGTAAAATACTCACTTTTGCGTCATAACTTTTTAATGAAACAAAAAGAGTTATAAAGCTTACTTGTGTAAAATCAAACGGCGTATAATATATAACCCCAAATCATTTTATGACTTTGTAAACTCCAAGCGAAATGTACGTGGGTTTCCTTCCGCCATGAAGTATCAAAATACCGTCTCTAGTGATAATCAAACAATTTCGAACATGTTCGCTATGTCCAATTAACTCAATCAATATCCCAGTAATATCTCCCGATGATGTAGTAGTTTATCTGAAATCCTTATTATTATTAATGATGTAGTCGTTTATTTGAAATCATTAAAGCAGTCCTTCAGTTAATGGTTCTGACCAGATCCCTACTTGTATTCTTACAAATTGTGCTGATTAACTCTATGAGCCGTTAACAGCGTTATTTAATTTGTCTCTTAAAAAGGCGTTTTTAAAACTATATGAAAGGAATCGTGCATAACCCCGTTACATAAAAGCGGTAGCAGATCTTCAGTGGAGAACTACCGGGGAATAGCTGAGCTTTCTGCGATTCCTAAATTATTTGAAGCAATTATAACAAATTGAGTTGATGTTATATATACTGACTTCAGTAAAGCATTTGACAAAGTGTGCCACTCGTTGCTCATCTATAAACTTGATCTTCTTGGTCTTCGACCTAATTTTCTACGTCGGATCTCTTCATACCTTTATGATAGATCACAAAGGGTAATGTTTAAAAATACTATCTCTGACGTCATTGATGTTACTTCAGCAGTCCCTCAAGGCAGCCACCTAGGCCCGGTTCTGTTCTTGCTTGCTCTTTATAAACGATATTTCTACAGATATACAATTTTCCAAAATTTTAATGTATGCAGATGAGGTAAAGTTTTATAAATCGTACCTTCCGCCTTATACACTTGCCAGCTGCAGGCAAATGCTTGGTACAATTTTTATAGTTAAATTACTGACAGGCTGAATTTCAAGTCCACTTCTTCTGGGTGAAGTTAGCCTTAATGTTCCCGGGTATCAATACACTTTTATCCCCTATTTCTGAAAGCTTGTAAAACTAATTTTGAATTCCGCGACCCACTCCGTTGCTTATGCCAGGATTTTAACTCTCATTCCAGCACGTTTGATATATCAGATCC